TCTATCGTATGATAATAGATCTGTTTTTAATGCACTCACTTTAGTTAGAGTGTTAGAACTTATGTTTGGTCTTCACAATAACATGGCAAAATGTGGTTGATCAATATTAATATGCCTGCTGGCATAGTTGACAATCTTGCGGAGGTTATTGTTTATGTGACCTTAGAATTACCTATTACATACCTTCGCATTTTGTTGGACGGTAATCCCAGGTGTAACTCATTTTGGGACAGGGTGGTCAGTAAGGCCTTTAGGCATTTAGAACATTGGGAAGGAGGTTTTTTTTCACTGGCTGGTAGGGTCTATCTTAGTTAGTAATGTTTGACTAGTATCCTTATCTAGTACATGTCCCTTTTTAAGGTTCTCACAAGGTGTGATCGAGCGCATACGATAAGAAATTTTTTCATGGGCTGGGAATGGTGAGGATAGGAGAGATCACCTAGTCAAATGGGAAGTATGTTGCAGGTCTAGAGCTTTCAGAGGATTAGGCATAGAGAATCTTAGATCTAGGAATTTGTCATTATTGGTTAGTGAGACTCTGTTTTTCGCAGGAACCTGTCCTTTGAGGCATTAAATAACCAAAAGTGTTCATGGGAGTCAGTGCAATGATTGGGATGCTGTAGCCACAAGATCCACCCGTCACAAAAGTTCTGGAAGGCCCATTTCAAGTTTTCTTAACATCTAGAGTCTCTTACTAGATATAAAATGGGGATGGTTCCAAATTCATTTTTCTGGAGATCTTTGGATGGGCGACTACCCTTGGGTATCCAGTTGCCACGTCTTTTTTGCGTATCTTCTTGCCATAATACTCCGATTGATAAGTTCTTTTGCCTTCCCAATGGTTCTCTGACCTGAAATTTTCATTTCTTCCGTAGCTTGAGTGATGGAGAAATGTTTGAACTCCTTACCATGTTAAGTTTGTTACAATTGTTTCAACCTACCCAGCAGCCTAATTGTATGATATGGACCCTTAACTCATTGGATACATATAACTATAAATCGTTTTTCGATAATGTAATAATGAACCAGAGTTGTTACCAATGTACCTTTGCCAAAGCATTATGGAAAATCAAGGTTCCTTCAAAGATAAAGGTTTTATGAGTTGCTGCAAATTCCTAGCCTAACTGAGCTCTATCTCCTGACATGTATGTTATGTGCCATAAGAGCGGGGAAACTCATTCACATCTCTTTCTACATTGTGAAGTGGTGTAGAAATTATTTGTCAGGTTCTTTGACACTTTTAACTTGGCATGAGTCACTCCTATGTTGGATTATTTTATTAACACAAATTTTGGTGGTTTCCGGGTTAAGGAAAAAACCAGACCATTGTGGCTGGGTACACTTGTTGGTTTTTGGACATTTTGGATAGAAAAAAATTGGCGGATTTTTGAGGAGCGTTCTCTGTAGGACAACCTCATTTTGGGAGAAGACATTTCTGGCTTCCCTTTGTGCTAAGGCTTATGGGAAATACTCTGACATCTTCTTCATTGTCCTTTATAGGAGTTGAAATGTGATTTGTTCAGCGCTCTTTTTTCTTGTATTTTTTGTTTTGCTTTCCCTTTCTTTCAGCTGGATATCTTATCTGCTGTTCTTTTTGTAATGCTTCCTTCCTTAATAATATATATTTTTTTAATAGAAAGAAGTTTTTGCAAATTACATTTCTTTCTTGTTTCGTGATATTTGGTAGAGATAGACTACATAGATCATACACGTTTTATTTTGCATTCTTCAAGTCTTCTATTCTTTTCCCGATCAACTTTTTGCATGTAAAGGAATCATCATGGTTGGAATCTAGAATCTTCATTTTGCTTTGTGTCAACCACTGGTAAAAAGTTGCGTCAAAGAACTTCCATAAAACAAATGCCCCAGCAGTGCAACAGTGTACTTCTCCCTAGAGGTAACGTCATGGATACAGTGTGGTCTAGAAAACTACTAAAGGAATAAACTATAACCAACTTTTTTGATGCATTCTTAAACATTTTTTTCATGTGAAGGTTATAGAAATAATAGTCCGGGCATTCTGTGCTTTTCTTGTTACAATGAGCATAATGCGGAGCACATGTAGTAGGTCTTGTTACAACAAAATTTTATATCTTTTTCCACCTTTCAGGGAATTACGAGTAATGTAAGGACAAGCTCCGGTATGTTTCTGAGTCACGCAGAGAGGAAATATCCAATGATACAGGCAAGCTTCATATTTAGTTTTCTTCAATATGTCTTGTTGGCATATTTGCAATTTGTTGCTTATTTGTTCAGCATTTTAATTGGCTCGCCATTTGTGTAGGCATTTCCTTGTGCTGTTGTATCATTAGACTTGGCTTTGGAGCTTACTTATCTCAACTGCCTTTTAAAATGAAATTGTATATAAAGTTTTTCTAGAAGATTGCACATGGTTGACTTTCTTTAAGCTGTTCATCATGAATATTATTTGTTCAGCATTCTTTCAAAAAAAAGAATATTATTTGTTCAGCTGCATATAGGCCAATCCAGTTACCATGTAAGAAACTCTTAAGCAAGTTAAAGCTACTGCCTTCATTTGTATTGTCCATGGAGGTTATGTAGAATATTCTTCTTTATTTTGCTGTATGTTTTGCAAAGGAAATGCTGCTTAACCTTGCTATTTTCTTGAAGATATCAATGGTCAAAATTTTCACTAGGTAACTTCCGAAGCAAGATACAGTACGCCAAACTGTCCCCTGTCATTTTGAAATTTCAGAACTCTAGGGCCGTTTTTCAGTAAGAAGGGAACATGGATGCAGATAGAAAATTCCTATGCTGACACTATTATGAGATATTCATATAACTATGATCTTTATATATTATTAGGAATATTTAGCTTGTTTCGAAACTATTAAAGTAGACTTACTGTTTTATTAGTTTTAGAAGTCTTATTTTATTACTATTCCTTTATTTAGGGATTTTAGTCATGTTAGGCTATATAAAGACCCTATAAATGGATAGTGTTTTATTATGTAATAGATTGCTTATAAATAAAAGTATTGATTTTCTTCTCATTGAATTGACTACCCTAACAACTCGATGATTGTGATTGAGACTATAGATTGGGTTTATTGTTTATCATCTTCAATTTCGAGTTTTTCTAACCCCTGGGTGCTATATCATCTTTACTTCATTGGAGAATCTAGATGAGAAAAAAGTTTCAACATCCTCAAAAAAGAAAAGAAGCGAGTGGATGCTCTTTTTTTTTTTTTTGGCTACAGTAAAGGATTATCATGTACAAGCACCAAGGGTAGCCTACATCTCCATTTATGGAATTGCATGTTAACCGATCATCGTCCCGGTTTAATTGTTTTCTATCACGATTGTAATACATTTCAAGATAATTGTTTTACTATAAGAATAATCATCATTATCGTAATTAATTGAGATTTTTTTGGTTTTGGCACAATCAGGCAATTGAAAAACGGATTTCTATCTTTTCTCAAGTACCAGCAGAAAATGGAGAGCTTATTCAAGTCTTAAGGTGGAGATTGATCTGACTTCTCTTAGTTGTAAAGTCTTATTGTAAACAAGAAAATCGATATCGTTTACAATCAAAGCTAACATCTACTGCAGCACAGGTATGAAAGGAATCAATTTTACAAGCCACACCATGACTATTTCTCTGATACTGTGAGTAGCATGATAATAGTCATTTCCTTCATATGTACCCTTGTTTACTTTTCGATTTGTAACTCTTTATGTTTGCAAAGCCCCAATATACTCTTTTCCTTGCTATTTTGGCAGTTTAACCTGAAACGTGGTGGTCAACGCATAGCAACAATGCTTATGTATTTAAGTGATGATGTTGAAGGAGGAGAAACATACTTCCCTATGGTACTTCTAATTGTATTTTGCTCAAGCTTGGTGTTTAAATATTTTGTATTAATTAGATATTATAATACCTAAACTAGTAAGTAAACTTATAAAATAAGAAATCTAAAAGATTATTCTTGCGATATAGAAGAAGATATTATTAAGATGAGAAGGAAAGTATAGCCAGGGAGGAAAAGAAATCCTTGCCAAGGAAGGAAAAATGAACTAAAAGATTTTAGTCAAACAAACTGTTGAATATGATATTTTCTTATTTTATTATTTAAATTACTTTATTATTTAATTAGGTAATTTAAATAGAAATTTCCCTATTAGTAGAATAAATATTCTATAAATATTCAGGTGTAACAACCTAAAGGGTGAAAAATAAATTTTTTTTTTCCAAATTCTATAGGGTATCAGAGCAAAATTAAATATATTTTGGTATTTTATTTTTAGAGTTTTTTTAAAACCCTAAAACAAAAAAAGGAAGCTGAGGAGAAAGAGGACCAGTCCAGGGAGAAGAGAGGAAAAATCAGAGGAAGGGAGAAGGCAGTCGGATCCTTCCTCCACCGTGCGCAGAGCCGCGCAAAGGGTGAGCCTGTTTCTTCCTCCACCGCGCGCAGAGTCGCGTGGCCCAGTTGCTTCTTCCACCGCGCGTAGAGACGCGAAGACGCTCTCAATTTTCTTCTTCTTTAGCCGTGCACAGAGACGCGTGACCTAGTTCCCTTCTTCAGTCGTGCGCAGAGCCGCGCAGGGCACCGAGGTTTCCTTCTTCTTCAGCCGCGTGCAGAAACACGCTACCCAGTTTCCTCTTCAGCCGTGCGCAGAGCCGCACGACAACCTTTGGTTTCTTCTTCCTCCGTGCATAAAGACGCACAATCTGCCTCCGATCATACGAAGCCTCTGGCCGCGACCTACCGGCCTTCTACCAGACATAAGTTTTTCCCTTCGCCTAGCCGACTCTTTTTTGAGTTGAGTTTGAGCCGTTTTTTAGCCAATTTTGAGCTGGTTTTGAGCCGATCTTGATTTTGAGCCAATCACGAGCCATTTGGAGCTGAACCCGAGCTGTTTTTGGACCGAACCGAACTGTGCTGCTGCCTAACATATTTAATTCTGGTTTACAACTTGATATGCAAATTGTACATGAAAAATATCCCTGCATCAACTTAAGGGAGAGTGTTGAATACGATATTTTTCTATTTTTTTGTTTAAATTACTTTATTATTTAATTAGATAATTTAATGTAATTAGAAGTTTACTAAAATAGGAATTTCCCTATTAGTAGAATAGGTATTGTATAAATACTTAGGTGTAACAACGTAAAGAGTGATAATAAAATTAATATTTTTTCTCCAAATTCTAAACAAATAAATTTGAAAAATGAAAAAATATAGAAAAATGAAATGCTACAAGCTGTCTATAATATGTCCCGGTATCAATGGAGATCGGTGATGCAAATATCTGGAAAGAACCATATCCTTTGGCTCAAAGTGGCACCAAAAATGTCACCCTCTCCTACAATTCAGAATATGAATGGATCCTGTTGTTGAAAATCCTCAAATTGCGCGTCAACTAGATGCACCAGAGACCAGTGAACAGCACCCTCTGCCACAGGGGTTTGGCAGCCTTCTGAATCCCTTACCCTTTGATAAACGTACACAGAAATCTAAAAGATTATAATTCTTATAGTATTCAAAATATACCTAAAAAGAAATTAAAATATTACAATGCTTAAATAAATCTAATGACTTAAAAATACAAAACAATAATAGTAATTACTAAAGATTTCCTTAATAAAAAAATTATTCTAAAGTAAGATCTTTTTGTTATGCATCTTTCTGCCGTACTTGCTAAAAACCCGATCTCAAGTTTTGAAGTGGCAGAGCACCAAGGTAGGAAAAGTTCGAACATGTTCTTCAAAATTTTCAAAAAAGCTGAGACTCTCTCTGGTGAAATAGTATATTTGAAAAGCTCTCTCTGGTGGAAGTTCAGTAGATTTGAGAAATACTATGCATGTACTTGCGACAATAGTTGAGCGTTAGGCAAAATTACACCTCCATCCTTTCCCCCGTTTACTGCTTCCAAGCCCAAGAATCCATGGGTATCTCTACCTTTCGACACATAGTAAATTATCATCATTAGACTGCCATTTCTTCGTAATCATCTTCTCCAGTTTAGTATACTTAAATTTGTTCATTCTGTAATTCCTTGCAACATGATGTTTTGACCTCCTTTATGTAAGGTGGCTTGATACTGCGGGAAATCAAAAGAAACAGGATTGAAATATCTCATCAAAGCTACAGTACAAATAGCATCATAGCTCCCAATTCAAGCACTCAGAAATTTTATTAAAAAATGTGGTTTTAAATCTTCCATTTACACCAAATACATTCACCTTCACTAACCACTTTTTGGTTGGTGCAACCATTGTCAGAGTTTTTCTGCTCACAACTTCTCGCCCAATGTTTGGCCACCCTCTCATCTATAAATGATTTTGAACTTCCACAACCAAGCAAAATAATAACTATCATATGCTCTATAACCCTCTTCAGTTTTACAGTACTCCCAGCACAGTGTCCTCAATAGCTTGAAAGGCAAGGGTGCATGTATCCTCTTCTGGCTCCTAGGTTGCCTCCTCTCCTTTACTGCTCTTTTCACTGTCCTCGTCGCACTCCTCTATACTTGACACAATTTTGAGTTTGCACTATTTAATCGGAAAATTTTTTTCTCCACAGTTATAGCATGAGTTAGAAGAATGTTCAGGTTCTACTGTGCTTGGGTATAGGTTTTTGTTTGGAACATAGGGTAACATTTCTCTGTTTCTGTCTATGTAACAATGGGTCTGTTTTCAGAAGGGAATCGGACTGTGATTGAGCACTAGGTTGGCTAACATTTTGTTGCTGTGGCATAGTCGAGGAATAGCTCCAGTATTGTTTTTGGCAGAGTGTTTTGGTGATTCTTTGGTTTAAATTTACAATGGCGGTCCATGGCCTCCAGAACTTCTTGAAGAAGGGCTAGTTCAAATTCTTGATTAAGGTTCTGGCATTTCGACCTTTTAATCATAGATCTAAGTTCTTCATTCAGGCCCCTAATGAAGTTAGAGATGAAGTTTCTCTCCAAGAGTGATGGATTATCTCAAAGCAAGATAGGTCGGAGCTCTTTGAAATTTTCTTGGTGATTCTCCACAGAACCTCTCTACTTCAGCCTCTTGGATCCCTTGGACAACATCTAGTCTTGTCGCCTCCACAGATAAACAACACAGTTCCTCCAACAAGCACACTTCAATTTTGACCTTCACAATGAGCATACCAACCCTGGTACCATATAAGAGAAAGGCTATCTCAATTTTTTGGTCTGCTGGCACCTCATATACCAGGAAGTATCTCTGACACCTTCAAAGCGAAGCCCGAGGGTTAATTCCGTCGGACTAGGGTATATCAACACAAGGAACAACATTCAGCATTAAACTCCCGAGGCTGTTACTACATGTCCCAACCTTGCAGTGTTTCAAGAGCAAAATTCCCTTGCCCATCACATGATAAGGAGGGGAATTTACTTTGAGTGTGGCTCCAAAGGGTGCATCATCTCGTTAAGAGTTCTGCGAGGTTCTCAAAGCATTATTCATCATCCTTCACTTTGTTGATGCCACTAATAGAGCTCCTCTTTGCATTCATTTTTTTTTTTTTAAAGTATGAAGTATATTAAGAGGCACCAAGGGAGTACTATTCATGTATAAAATATTTACAAAGTAGTAATAATGTTTATGACATTCTCAAAATCTTCTCCCCTATATATGTCATGATCCAAATCAACGAACTAAATAAATGAAACCATCTGTTCCTAATTTTTACCATCTCATCCTTAATACCATCAAAAGCTCTACTATTTAACTTCTTTTTCAAATGACCCAGAAAATGGTTATCGGAATAAACTTCACAATTTTTTTCTTCTCACATAACCCCTTCCAAGCCCACAACTCTCTCTCACCGACCCAACAATTGCCCACTTGATGCCAACGAGATTGTACACCATAGTCCACATTTCATAAACCACCAGGCATCACTTGAGGATATGATTACAAGTCTCAACAGCTCTTTTACAGAGATAGCATCTATTCATCATAGTTCTGCCTTGTTATGTTTTTCACAGAACCTTAAATTTTAGTTATGATATTGGTGTCTCTGGCCGATTCCATGTACTGAGTCTTTGTTGGTAGATCATGATTGCTCCTTCACCTGTGAGTCATCACAGTGATGGAAGCAAGGATTTTGTCGGAATCGAAGGGTTCTAGTACCAAGTTTCCTGGATTCTTAGACGTAAGCTTAATTCTAGAGCTAGGATTAGCTTTGGGTGAGATGGGAATTTCAAAAGTTGAGAAGGAAGAAGAATTCCATTAGTTAACAGAGAAGGATATTTGAGAGAGAAAAGGGAAAGTGTTGATTACACTTAATTTTTATGGTTTATGATTTAATGGTAATATTCTCTCCAGATTCCATCCCTTACTACTCTGCTAGTCCCTTTATTTCTAAAATTCCAATAAAATAACGAACCATAACCGAGTGCAATAACAAAAAGATCACAGCTACCTAAAAGAGACGAAACTAGGAATAAAACATCCCTGAAATTACAAGGTTTATCCATTTATCTCTTAAGTTGGTTCCATGATTGCTCTGCTTTCTCCAGCTTCCTTGATTCCTTCAGCGGTTCTCGTTTCCTCCAGGTTATGTTCAGTCTCTTTCTTAGCGTCTAACTTCTGCATACAAGTCTATTCTACTCAGTATTTAACTAATACTTTTTCATATATGCACATG